AATGGGCACAAGTTGATGGAGAGGAGGTATAGATTGGACATCCGCAAGAACTACTTCACAGTTAGGGCGGCTAGGAGCTGGAACCAACTTCCAAGGGAAGTGGTGCTGGCCCCTACCCTGGGGGTCTTTAAGAAGAGGCTGGATGCCTACTTGGCTGGACTCATTTGAGTCCCATTTCTTGTTTTGGGGTTTTGTTGTTCTCCCGCCCTGGCGGGGGGTCAGGCTAGAAGATCTACTAGGTCCCTTCTGACCCTAAATCTATGAAACTATGAAACTATCACCCGAGAGCACCCCATTGTCAGCAGACAGGAACACGGAGGCAAAGAACTTGTTAAAGAGTTCTGCCTTCTCTCGTGCATCTGTCACCAACTGCCTTGCCCTGCCCTGCCCTGCCCTGTAGGGGTCCAATGTTACCCCGAAATAGTGCCAGTCATTTAAAACTGAATGTGTCCTGGCACATTTTTTCACTCATAGCCCTTTATGAAATATAATGAATACTCCAGCTATCTCAGTGTGGTTTAATAAACAGCATCAGAAATGGATGAGAAAACTTGAGAGAGTTTTCCCAGATCCTTGTAGACTCACAATTCCTGCATTTTCGACTTCCCAGCATCAGCAATGAGAGTTAGCTGTTGTTTGCCTTGAAATTATTTCTTTATATGATCAATCTTTCCACAAATTAACATGGCACTAGTAATGTCACAGACTTACTCTAAAACAGTTGATCTCAGTTGAGCAGGTAAATGCCATTACTTCAGCCAATAAGTTGTTCAGCAACTTAGACTGAATTATGTACAGGCATCTGTGTGTGAGACAATAGATTTGCTCTGAGTGAGGCATCAATTCATTAATCATATGTGAGTGTGGCTATACAGACTAATTCTTGAGTGACAGTCCCTTCTGCGCTTATCACATATGAAGTTCATACGTAAAAGTCCTGAATGAAGTACTATAATAACAAAAAGGGAGAATTAAGTATTATAATAATAAAAGATCATCAGATACATGAATATTGTAGTGATAATTCATCAAACAGTTTTCCTTTCCTTCGAGATTCATATGAAATGACTAATGATCCAGAATGGCATTAAAGGCTCCCCTATGCTAAAGGAAGTACTGTCTCTAAAATAAGACAAGCCTTTTTTATTAAAAATCCTATAACAGTTTTTGAAATGGGTAGATTCCTTTCCAATTTGCATAGGATCTGATTATCCCTCTGTAATGGGTGCGGGTTCTTTTGATATACTGGCTTGCCCATTATCCTTATTGGACAAGGAGTTTTCCCTTCTTTAAGCTTCGCCCACCATGACTTGTTGTTACATAGTAGATTTTTGTTATATAGTAGACCTCAAAAGGGGTCTGCTGTCTTGACCAGATTGTCTCTTTCTATATTATTGTTCACAGTATCCACTTGGTCAAAATATGAAGGCTCTCTTTTCAATTAGCTGAGTCTATCTTCATGGATTCATAAGGCCAGAAGGGACCTCAGAATGTCATTGGGTCCAGGTCCTTGCACCAAGCAGGAAACATAACTGGGGGTCAGGTGACTGCAGCAAGGTGACTGTCCAGTCTCTTCTTGAAGATTTCCAGGGTAGGTGATTTCACCACCTCTGGAGGGAGCTTATTCCACAGTCCGGACACCCTGACCGTGAAGAAGTTTTTCCTAATTTTGAGCCTGAGTTGATCTTCCAGGAGTTTGTGGCCATTACTCCTGGTTTTCCCCTCGGGTACCCTAGTGAGCAGTAGCTCACTGAGCCCTTGGTGTACTCCCTTACTGAGGTGGTAAGCTGCTACCAGGTGCCCTCTAAGCCTTCTTTTTCTGAGGCTGAAGAGTGCCAGATTCCTCAGCCTTTCCTCGTATGACTTGCCTTTTAAGGCTCTGATCCTATGGATGGCTCTTCTTTGGACTCTCTCAAGCTTGTCCACAACCTTGTTAAAGTATGGTGCTCAGAACTGGACACAGTACTCTAGCTGTAGTGTCAGCACTACTAAGTAGAGTGGAAGAATCACCTCCTTGGCTTTGCTGGAGATGCATCGATTGATGCATGCCAAAGTACTATTTGTCCTACTGGCTATAGCATCACACTGCCGGCTCATATTCATATTGTGGCCTATTATTACCCCCAGGTCCCTTTCATTCATTGTGCTAGTCAGTTTGGTGCCACCAAGCCTGTAGGTGTGTTGGGGGTTGCTCATCCCAAGGTGGAACACTTGACATTTCTCAACATTGAACTTCATCAGGTTCCAGTCCACCCAGCTTGCTAGCCTGTCTAGGTCTGCTTCTAACTGTAGCCTATCTTCAAGTGTGACTACCCTTCCCCATAAACTGGTGTTGTCCACAAACTTGGTTAGTGAGCTCTTCACTCCCACATCCAAATCATTAATAAAGATGTTGAAAAGTACTGAACCAAGCACCGATCCCTGCAGGACACTGCTACCCACTTTTCACCAGGATGACACATCCATTCATTATGACTCTCTGGGTCCTATCCTGCAGCCAGTTTCTCACCTACCTGACTGTCTTCGAGTTAAGCCCACAATCCTCCAATTTTCTTGTGAGGACATTGTAGGATACTAGATCAAAGGACTTTTTGAAGTCGAGGTATACAATGTCAACCTGCTTTCTCATGTTCAGGTGGCAAGTTACTTGGTCATAGAAGGAGATGAGGTTGGTAAGATAAGACTTGCCCGTGATGAAGCTATGCTGGCTGTCA